GCAGTTCATGTATGGGTCGCGGATAGGGGAATTGAGGTGCACATGGTGTGCTACTTCAGGGAGGAAAAATTGGAGACAGGACTTGATTTAGAACAGTAGGTGTATAGAAGGCAAACACAGGCATAGGAAAACAGCCATTTTGTTCAAAATAGGGATGAGGTCACAGTTGGACAACATATTGGACTTTATTTAACATAGTAGTAATAGCTATTGTTTTGCTGCATTTCCAAAGTAGCTGCAAAAGGATGTTGCAGAGAACAGGCTTGTTTTATATATACATCCTTACGTATGAGCTGGCATGTTTTATATACACTCACTCACACTTGCATACACTCTCTCACACACGTGTGTGCACACATACTGTCTCTCCCCCATATCCTACATCCTTAAGTTTCTTTTTAGTACCATCTAATCTTTTGATACTTAGAAATTATGAATTTTCAAAGGCAGAGATCGAAGACCAGAAAAATGGCTTGTGCTGCATCCATCCTTTTTTCCTTACAAATGTTTTTTAAAAAAAGTTCTTTCATGGGAAAACATTTTCCTCTTAAATAATACAAAATTTTGCAGCAAATTCTGGTTGTTCCATTTATGACTGATAGAGCAGATTGAAAAATGAAAATCTATTTTCACAAAAAAAATCCAAATTTGAATTCAAAGTGTTTGAAAGAGACCATTTAAAAAAAGTAAATTTTTAAATAAAAAACTTAAATGTTATTGAAATCTTTTAGAGAGACAAAGTGGATGAGGTCATATCTTTTATTGGAACACCTTCTGTTGGTGAGAGAGACAAGCTTTAGAGTTTACACACAGCTCTTCTTCAGCTCTGTGTAAGCTTGAAAGCTTGTCTCTCTCACCAACAGAAGGTGCTCCAATAAAAGATATGACCTCACCCACCTCGTCTCTCTAATAGCCTTGGACCAACATGGCTACAACAATATTGAAATCTTTTGTTTACTGAAAATCCTATTTATGGTAAATGAAAAAAAATGATAACCATTATGGTAACTGTCAGTTCCTCCCCCCTCTCTTAGTCAATGTGGGACCTCTAAACCTCCTAACTTATCTTTCAGCTTTCAAAACTTCCCCAAGGTACAAAATATTACACCCGTTATCCTTGGAATCCGCTACCACCACCAAACTAATACTGGTTACTGGGAAGAGCTGTTTGGCGTCTTTCCCCCAAAATACTTCCCAAAACCTTCACCCCACTTCCTGGACAAGTTTGGAAAACCTCACCAATTTGCCTAGGTGACTACAGACCCAGACCCTTGGATCTTAAGAACAATGAACAATCCTCCCAACACTTGCACCCCCTTTCCTGGAAATGTTGGATAAAAACCTCACCAATTTGCATAGGTGACCACAGACCCAAACCCTTGGATCTGAGAACAATGAAAAACATTCAGTTTTTTACAAGAAGACTTTTAATAAAAAATAGAAGTAAATAGAAATAAAGAAATCCCCCCTGTAAAATCAGGATGGTAGATATCTTACAGGTAATTAGATTCAAAAACATGAGAACCCCTCTAGGCAAAACCTTAAGTTACAAAAGATACACGACAGAAATAGTTATTCTATTCACACAATCTTTTCTCAGCCATTTAAAGAAACCATAATCTAACACATACCTAGCTAGATTACTTACTAAAGTTCTAAGACTCCATTCCTGTTCTGTCCCTCAGACCACACAGACAGACACAAAACCTTTGTTTGTCTCCCTCCTCCCAGCTTTTAGTATCTTGTCTCCTCATTGTCATTTTGGCAGGTGCCACGGGTTACCTTTGCTTCTTAACCCTTTACAGGTGAGAGGGCTTTCCCCTCCAGGAGGGATTTCAAAGGGGTTTACCCTTCCCTTTATATTTATGACAGTAACACTTTAAATTAAAAAAAATGTTTTGAACAGGAATGATGTTTTTTGTGGAAAAACAAGACTGTGGCCATTATTTGTGGAAAAAAAATTATTTTAAAAGGCCATTTTTTGAAAATAAAAATCTTTTTATTTAAAGTTTCAGACAACTCTAGTGTTTGGGATAGAGCAACAGTTTTACCTTTACAGCAGGGTAGAGCCATAACACGAGAACAAGGGATTATTGCCACTGATATTACCAATAGCAATCAATATCTTACAAGGGGCATAACTGTACAGAATCAGGATGTGGCAATATGTCTGTGCTAGGAGCTGAAGGTTTTGCTAAAGAGACATTACACTACCCCTGCTGTACAGGTGAAATAACTGCTACTGGTTCACATACTCCTCCTCTCCTGTTTTTCGCCTGCTAGCTCTTCATTTTTGAGGAGATCATTATAACTTGATGTGTTCATGTTTAAGGTTGTTGCGCGTTTATTCTTGTACAGTTAAATCCTTTTATCCTCACTGAAGTGAAACTCCCCTTGACCTCATTTGGTGAAGGGGAAGTCAGATCCTCAGACTGTGTAAATTATCAAAGCTCCGTAACTAAACAGTTTACTCCACCCAAGAATCTGCCCCTGGGAGTTTTGCCTGAGTAAGGATGGCAAGATTTGACTCTTAGAATCCAATTCAGCAAAAATGTGTGGCTTCTTTGCCATGCACGACTGCAGAAACCTTGAAAAATGAGCTTTCCAGATGTCTGTTTTTCCTCTGGAATAGAGTCCGAGAGTGTACACAAGGATAATATTTATAAAGTAATTGTAATTTTAATATTTAGTAAGAATTCACAAAAGAGGTAGAAATATCACTTAAAGCAAATGAAGTTTCTAAAATTAGTATAGTTTTACTTCTAGATATTAGGTGAAAATGTATTTTTGTTATATCTTGGCAGAAACTTGGGTTTATGTTTTGCTGCTTTCAACGTGTCAGGCATTTGTTAGGTCGGGGTCTGCAAATCTTCAAGAGCTTTTCAGGTTGAAAATAGAACACTTGTGATTGCAATCTTAGAGAATATTTTCATCAGTGTGTCACTACTGTTTCTCTGCAGTAGAGGTGAATGTGGTTGAGCATTAATCATTAACAATGCAAACTTGCAAATGTCATTGCTCAAGAAAGACTGTTCTACAGCTTGGGGTTATTATCATGAGAGATTGCATTTTCCAAAGAAAATACTCTCATTAACATTAGTCATATGTATTTATTTAAAATGTTACTCATATTCCTGAGATTCCCTGGGAGGCAGAAGACATGGAGTGTTACTTCAGCACACTTAGATACAGTACAACCTTTCAGAGGATAAATTTTATTAGCAATTTTTGTGTACCAATTTAATCAATTAAATCAATCAAAGGTATCCACTTTGTCAATGACTTGTTACAACCTACTTGTAGACTGAGAGTTGAAACTGCTAACCCATTGCATTGTGCTCCCCAGTACGGTACTCTAAGTTTGGCTTAAAACTATATATATTTAAATATTTAGTTAAAATCATATTGAAACTAAGTGGGTCATAGTTAGGTGTGGTCTAGTAGATAAATCACTTATCTTTCAGGTGTTGGACTGAAGCTCAAGCCAATTCTTTGACTCAGATTATATTAATTTAGTGGTTAGTTCTCACATAGTTTGAAACAGTGGGATTTGCTGCTTGAGAGAGGATGAAAACAGAGCTAGCCTGAATGATGAATTGTTTCTCACCCTTAGGTGGTCTTTTCAGGCTTGAAATTATTTGGAGACAGCATTTGGAAATTCACATGTGCCTGCTTATGTTGTCCTTGGCTTGTGAATATAAATATAAAATACGCTTTTTAGTATTCCAGCCTTCATGTGCAGAACTTTCCCCTCACACCTGTGGGAGGGGGGAGGCTGTGACAGATAAAAACCAGTAAAGTTAGAGCGTTCTGCACCTGAACCAATCTGCCAATTTCCATACTGCTTTAATTTGGCTGTACACCACACCCAATCTCTTCACTGGCCACCAGCAGTTTTTGTTGGTGTTTATTTTTACACCGTATATTCAGCCAGGGAGAGACCAATAAATATAAAATGATTCTCTTCTTCCCATGTGGACTTCCTCCTGATGGAGGATGAAATCTGTCTGCAAAAGCTTCAGTTGATGCATTTTGAGCAGAATTTTATCTTCACTTACACAGGTACAGACTCTATAAGCAGAATAGGGGTGCCTTCAAGTTTAAGGGGCTGATCCTGTAACCTTACATGCAAACCTTACCCAGCTAGACCCATTGAAATGAGGGTATCTACTCTCATGGGCAATGACTGCCTGCCTCCCTATCTTATCTGAAATCTATCAACTCCATCATTATGAAGATATTACAGAGCACCGATCATTGTAGTGTTTAAGCCTGAAATACAGTAATTAGATTCACACAGAAAACATCCGTAGAGGACAACAGGACAGATTCTTCTCTTCACATTTCCTAGGTTCTAGGAAGCTTTACTTGGTGGATTTGTTTTTTTTTTTTTTTTCTTTGCTAATGGCAAGTAATCACAATGTCAAATGATCGGTCCTGGAAAACAGGTATTATTTTGGAATGTGCTTTGAAGACTGATACATTCTCCTCCGAAGATGAGTAGGTTTACTTTTGGGAGTGAGCGTTTCTGGAACAGACTCTAATGGAGGTGATTTTGCAGCCTAGACTATAATTACATTTATTCTCTGCGGGGCTCAGGTGACAAAAGCTACATGAACAGGTAGCAAGTGTATGACTAGAGCCCTATGGAATCATGAGCAATGTAATAAAATTTAGATATGCCAGCAATTTATTTTATATATTAAACGATTAAGCATAGAAAACAATCCCAATTGTAGTTTTCGTTATGGTGATTTTACTATACACAAGTGTCATAAAAAATCCTATTATGTAGTAGTTGACAATAGAATATAACAGTTTTAGAAAGTTATGTTAACTTATACAGTGTTCCTTTGTGTAAAAACCTTTCCAGACGCAGTTCTCTTGTAAGGGAAATTGAGCTTCCTTAGGTGTTTCCCCTCCTCCAACTTTTCCTCCTCTTTTTGCTTGATTTTGATTGAGTCCATGCCAATTTATTTACAAGATAATTTTGTTTAAAGATAGTTAACAACCTTGGACCTCTGGAGCTGATTCTTAATACTCCCAGTCACCACAGAGTTCACCATGGTAAGTAATGCCATGTTATCTGATTTTCCATTGTTTGTTTTCTTACTGTCATTATTTATATACTATTTAAAAGGTACAGAAAGGAGGAAATGTGACTGGTGTTTTAAAAAAAAAAAACATTAGAGAAGGAACAGTAATGATCACTCTAAGTTTTCTTAAGGATTTTTGTTATAACCTTTTGTTATCAGTGAGTTATAACTTCAAAACATTTACATCTCAGACTGAAATTTTTCAGATTTGATCTCTGTCCAAATGTGAATTACTGTGGACAGTTTGTGCAAAACAATTCAGTGTTTGTAAATATAAGAAGTGTGATGGGAATAGCAAATCCTTCTGTCTCCATTGTTAAAAATAAATAAATATGGTAACCCATTTTCAACTGTTCTTGCACCTTAAAGTCAAACACTCAATATCAGTATAGAATTGGCCTTGTTTTAGAAGAACTGCATTTGGCTGTTCCAGTTTTCATTTCACTGCATTATTGAAAAGCCCATTTTGCGCATATGCAATACAACTGATATTACTCTTTTCATAATTTTCATCAATATTCAGAGTAAGAGTAGGCTGTAGTATACATATGAGATTGGTTCATGTAATGGCATAGTGAAGAGTTTAGGGAAATTTCTTGACTTTAGCAAAGCTTTTGACACGGTCTCCCACAGTATTTTTGCCAGCAAGTTAAAGAAGTGTGGGCTGGATGAATGGACTATAAGGTGGATAGAAAGCTGGCTAGATCGTCGGGCTCAACGGGTAGTGATCAATGGCTCCATGTCTAATCGGCAGCTGGTATCAGGCAGACTGCCCCAATGGTCGGTCCTGGAGATGGTTTTGTTCAGTATCTTCATTAATGATCTGGAGGATGGTATGGACTGCACCCTCAGCAAGTTTGCAGATGACACTAAACTGGGAGGAGAGATAGATACGCTGGAGGGTAGGGAAAGGAGACAGAGGGACTTAGACAAATTAGAGGATTGGGCCAAAAGAAATGTGATGAGGTTCAACAAGGACAAGTGCAGAGTCCTGCACTTAGGATGGAAGAATCCCACGCACCGCTACAGACTAGGCTAGGCAGCAGTTCTGCAGAAAAGGACCTAGGGGTTACAGTGGACGAGAAGCTGGATATGAGTCAACAGTGTGCCGTTGTTGCCAAGAAGACCAATGGCATTTTGGGCTGTACAAGTAGGGGCATTGCCAGCAGATCAAGGGACGTGATCGTTCCCCTCTATTCGACTTTGGTGAGGCCTCATCTGGAGTACTGTGTCCAATTTTGGGCCCCACACTACAAGAAGGATGTGAAAAAATTGGAAAGCATCCAGCGGAGGGCAACAAAAATTATTAGGGGACTGGAACACATGACTTATGAGGAGAGGCTGAGGGAACTGGGATTGTTTAGTCTGGAAAAGAAGAATGAGGGGGGATTTGATAGCTGCTTTCAACTACCTGAAAGGGGGTTCCAAAGAGGATGGATCTAGACTGTTCTCAGTGGTAGCAGATGACAGAACAAGGAGTAATGGTCTCAAGTTGCAGTGGGGGAGGTTTAGGTTGGATATTAGGAAAAACTTTTTCACTGGGAGGGTGGTGAAACACTGGAATGCGTTACCTCGGGAGGTGGTGGAATCTCCTTCTTTTGAGGTTTTTAAGGTCAGGCTTGACAAAGCCCTGGCTGGGATGATTTAGTTGGGGATTGGCCCTGCTTTGAGCAGGGGATTGGACTAGATGACCTCCTGAGGTCCCTTCCAACCCTGATATTCTATGATTCTATGAAATATGCACTGAATAAAGCGGGGCTCCAGAGGTGCCCCTGCCTCATCCACTGGGTAACTTCCAAAGGTCATTCACTGAGTATCTTGAAAAGAGCAGAGATAATAAGTAGAACAATAACAGGGAGATGGTGAAACTTAATTTACTAATCTGAACCACGCTCAAATATAACTAAATATACAGGGGATGTTGTAACTATTTATTATTGCTATGTGTTAAGTGTTTATGACACTGTATCGACATTTAAAAGGGCGGGGTTCTGTAAGTGTCCAATCCTGCAAATTTGCATGAGCATTGGCAGTCCCAGTGTGACAGATTCTATTCTCATTTTCACTGCTATAAATCCAGAATGAGCCTATCCGCCCTGAGTCTAGTCAGGTACACACGAGGCTTAACTCCATTGACTTCACTGGAGTAATCCAGTTGGGATAACTGAGGGCAGAATTTAGCTCATTGGCTTTAATGGGACTACTTGCACATGAGGAAAACTTAAAGATGTGGAGCCGTGTACAAGATAGAGAGGTTGATCCTGCTCACAATTAAGTCATTAGCAGAACTCCTCATGATTTAAGTGGGGTGTGAGATCAGGCCTATAATATAGGAGGTGTATAGAGGCACCAGGAAGTCATTCATGAGATCATTGTACATATCTTGTGTATATTTGGCATATATCTTGTTAGCTACAATTTGGATCATTTTTGGTGATTTTTCTGTTCGTTTGTTTTTTTAACTTTTGTATCTACATACATGTTGGGGTAAATCCACCCCAGGCATAATTCCATTGACTTCATGTAAGCTGCAACAATGATGAATATGTTTTTACCCTGAGCTATATTTTAATAGTCAGATGTGAGGCATAAGAAAAGTTATAGCTGGTTAACAGTGGAAGGTTAGCCACCTCCTGTAGTTAGTAGGTAAGAAAAGCAGACTTACAATAAAAACTCCTACTTCAGCTGAAGTTTGTAGAATTCACAGATTTTTCATAAGTGCACTCAATTTTTTTTATTGTTATAGGCAGAAATCCTTACTGCATTGACAAAAATTATGGTGGTACCCTCATTATTTGGGATAGAATTTTTGGTAAGTGGAATAAATTGCTGTTGCTAATGTTAATTAATGTTGCAAACAGGAAGTTTTATGCTCTTAAGCTTGATTATTTTTCCTCCTTCCAGGAACATTTGTGGCGGAAAATGATAAAGTTATATATGGCCTAACACACCCAATAAATACATTTGAACCTTTCAAGGTCCAGGTAATGCATTTTTTCTTACTGAACTTATATATTTTAACATGAACTTCTATTCAAAAGAAATTTACATTTTTGAGAGACTGGAGGCAAACTATACTGTACTATAGATTGTTTTGTAATTATTTGAAGTGTTGTACTGTAATCTGGCAAATGTCAGTGGTTTAAACCATTTCATATAAACTACATATAAAATATTTCTGAAAATTTCAATTATTATCTTATCATTTCTTGCTGTAGTATATTTCAGTGTTCTCATAAGGATGAAGGGTTCAGCTGTACACACTGGTGGTGAAAATGCAATGGGTGAAAATTATTCATGTTGTGATGCCACTGAAGTCAGTGGATTTACAAAAGGGATGAATTATGTTCATGTAATGATTAGTCTTTTGCCCTGCTCAGCTAGGATAACATTCTTTATGAGCAGATGGTAATGATACAAACTGTATTTTATTTGTTACGTATATCTGCTTCAAATATTGCTCTTTTAAAAGCAATCCCCCAGTCTAATATCTTATGTAATTTGTTTTTAACATATCTATTCATTACCTTTGATATTCAGGGTATCCCAGAATGATTTATTAGACCACGAATTAATGTTACTGTTGGCAGTAAATGCAGCAGCAAACGTGCTCAATAAAAGCTGAGATACAGTTTGAACATTAGAATCTGTTTAATTGAGGAAGATGTTTGGCTAAGGGATGACAATTATCCTTGCCTCTTTTCACAAAACCCAAAAGGTTGTTTACCTTCCACTTGTTTCAAATCTCATTTAAAAGATAATGGGGATGCACAGTATGAGAATCAGAACAGAATTTGGTCCAGTGTCTCTAAAGCAGCAGTTCCCCTTATAACTGTATGGCAGTCTGATCCCTGAGCCTGGGTCCTGCTGTGGTACTTAAATCCACATCCTGCCCAGAAAAGAGTCTTCTACCAATAAATTATTCTGATCCCTGATGTGAAACATGGGGGGTTATGAGTGGCATTTACACCTAGAGACAGATACACCCAGATGATTCTCTTCTGCATTTTCACTGGAATTTTGAACTCTCAGAACCTCTGAATATCAGTCCCTGGGTAAAGCAGGGTAAAGTATATGTTTTGCTAAATTGCTATTTTTACTAATAAATATGGACAATTACTTATGTCTTCGCAGTTATGTCACTTGGCTTATATATGGAGCACATTTTGGGCCACACCTGGATTCAGTAATAAGCTCTCTGTAATATTCAAAGGCCCAGGTTGGGGACCAGGAAAACCTAGACTCGGCCTTCCTGAGGAAATCCCAGTGGTAAATTGAATATATAGAAGGCTTTCAGTTGCATATAATTTACTTGCCCTATTAGTGCTATTGGATCAAGGTTAAAAACTCTACTTGTACTATCTTAAATTAGCAGTATTAAAGAAGAGGGAAATGAAACAGAGACTTAAGGAAATGGACGTTTTAGCAGTGTTTTCCATTTATATTTGAATAAAAAAGTAGACATATATAGACTTTTATACTTCAAAGGTGTTTTCATCATTCATTTGAGATAAATTTTCAAACGTTTTGCATAAAGTAGCACTTAAAAAAACCTTTATTTTACTCTATTTCTCACAATAGATTATGTATATATTTTGATAACAGCACTCTTCTACCTTTCTCTCCCATATTCCTAAGTGACTAGTCACGTGCTGTTAAATATGACCCTTAATCACTTGGTATTTGCAATTAACATAGGTACTAAAGGATAACATGAAATACTAATGAAGACTGTTATCTGTTTTGATACATGTAGATCACTGGAAAAGAGATTCCATTCAATCCCAAATTGCCAATATATCTTTCTGTCTATGCAGTAGTACATTTTACCTTGATGCTGGGCTTTTATGTGGACCTGTTTGAGACCCAGGCCGTAAGTAATTCACACTTTCAGTGAAATACAGTGTTTGATGTTAGCAAAAATCTGTCTGGTGTGAGATGCTTTTAATGTTAAAACTGAAGTAATAAAACTGACTCTGTAAGGGCCTGATTCTATTCTCACTTATGTTGCTACAGTCAGGGGTAACTCCACTGAAGTTAATAGAATTATACCAGTTTAAAACCAGTGCAATAGATATTGGAATCATGCCTCAGAAATGTGTCTGTAATGATGAAACTAAAATATACTCTATTATATGAAAGATATTTTTCCCCTTCACAAACAAATTTGGGATTAAGGTTTTCCCCCAATATCAAGAATCCTCTTTTTCCGCCTTTAATTCAGATATTTATCAGCCTGCTCTGCAGATTTTAACATTGTTACATAGCTATATAAATGCATAAAGTTTAGGATAATTCAAGTAAAAAGGTAGAATGAAGCCCACTTATTGGAATTACAGATAATAGAATTAATATCAACGTTTTCAAAATGAATTTGGGTACTTGAGTTTCTGGTTTCCAATGGTAGAAATTTAGAGGCGTGATTTTTTAGAGAATAAGTGCTGGGAACTTTCTAAAAATCAGTCCTCTTTGAAATGTCTGAAGTTGGGCACCCAAAAATGTAGGCTTCCAAAATCAGTAGTCACTTTCAAAAAATCTTGGCCACAATATTTGTGTCTGTTCTCTGGTTCAAATGCTCCTTCTCCAGTACATGACATATAGGGCAGGAAGATGGTCTGAAACTGCAACAAGAAGTTGGGGCCTGCATGGTGGCAAGGTATATGATATGATCCCATGGCACCATATAGCCTTCCAAAGCCATTCTGTACCAAATAGGTAAAGTCTGAATAGCACACAAAATAGAGATTGTGCCATTCTGGTGGGAGAAGAGTTAAAGAACAACTATTTCCCTGCATAATTTAAGTGAAAAAAATTAATTCTGCCTTAAGTAATATCAACTTATTCTGCATACCCTGTGACTTCGCGAGAAGGTCACGTGTGTCACAATGGTTTGGTGACACCTTTGGTGATCCAAAGGTAATATGGTTCATGGCTGTGGTGCCTTTTCTGAGGGGATGGGCTAGAGGTACAGTGAATATGAGAGAGAGATCAGTTTCTAGTGTCATGTATTGTGCATCTCCAGGCTATGAATGACTTTCAGGCCATGCCCCCTTCCACCTGTAAATCTGATTGACCTAGGTGTGCATGCAGTGGGTCTTTGCAGCAGCAAGAGCTACAGTGTATTGCGCATGAATTTCTCCCTGGTTTTGTTTTTTTCCCCCCTCAGGAGGGGGAATATGTGGCCCTCAACTATTTCTTGTACTATCATTTACAGCTGCAGCTGTTTAAGAACTGCTGTCAAAGGATTAAAGGAAGTTCAGATAGAACCACAAACCCTTTAACATTATTCTTTCAAATTCTTCACAGTTCCACAAATGAACCGTCCTGAAGGTTCATCGTTGTAAATTTAAAGTTGCAAAATTAGCAGAAAATGACCTGCATAAAACATAAGGTAATGGGGTAATAGTGATAGGAGAGAAAAGAGAAAACAGGAAGAGAAGTGCCCACACTTCAGGAAATAAATGCCAAAGAAGGTGAAGAAAGCAGTGCCTGACAGAAGACCAAGTTCCTGGATCTTTTTAAAAATACAGAGGGGAAACTGTTGCAAGAAGAGAGCACATATATGAATAACATAACTTGGCAAATTCTTCATTTAGTATCAGTTTTCCTATACATTGAGTTATGAAATGGTTATAGACACAACTGGAACTTTCTGCTTGGCTACGAATTATGTCATAACCATGGCATAGCTCCATGAATGGAAAGAGCTAACTGTTTTCCTAATTTTGGGGGAATAAGTTCCATTTCATAATAGCAATAAGACACTCGAGCAGCACACAGTTATTACATTCCTCTTGTGATTAGAGTCACTCAGTCTTTGGTTTCATGTCCTTTAAAAGTGTTAAGTTTTTCCATACACAGAGAGCGGCCATATACCTTCAGTAGGAATGACCTTTAATTTAACTTAAGAAAACAGCAAAACAAGAAAGAAGAAATTATAAATTTTCTGCCAGAGAGAGCACATTGTCTTTCTTTCCTCCCTAGCACTCTGCACAACATTCTGAGAATAAAAGTTACTGCTGAGCTCTGCACACCAAGGTCTGAGCGAAAGTTCACTGAAGTTAATGGGTTTTGGATCAGTCCCAGAGAAAATGCTAGAAATGTAAAACTGCAGTATGTTAAAAACAAATGTCATCACAGTTTCATAACTATATCTACTACAAAAATCATTCAAAGTCTATCTTAATCAACACTTCTTGGAGTGTTTTATTGCCGATTGATACTATAGCACATGTTAATATGCATACTTTTGTTAGATTGTTAGTACATGAGCAGTTTTGATGAGACCAACAGAAAAGATAAGGTAAGAACATGTCTCTCAAAGGCTGAGAACACGATTGTAATCTAATCCAACAGGACATCATTGCGTTGTGTACGTCATCCTGTATTTTTAAGCACTCACAGAAGTTTTAAGGGTTTTCAGGTAAAAGCCTCTAAATAGAGAAACTTAACAAAGCTACCTCCTTAACACTGAAACTGAATTCTGCATAGTGCTGCTAGATGAGGAAACATAAAATGAGGTACAGATAGTCAGCATTTGGTAAATTCTAAAAGGTGCCAGCATCTTTCATAGAGGCTCAAGCTCTGCAACATGCCAGGATGAGAAATACTTTTGTGAGACACTTCACAAAAATAAAATAATCTAAAACCTTTGAAATGTAAAAGTAAATTTGGAAACTGACTCTTATCTAAATACACATTCATTCTGAATGGTGTATTTACTTGGTTTGAGTAAATTATTTCTTCTTTACTAAAAAATATTCTGTGGTAGTCTGTTGACTAGGAAGCAGTGTAAATTTCTTCCCCAAATTCCAAAACTCTTTTTTCTTAAACTTTGTGACATTTTGAAAGCTTGCAATGAAATCAAAATCCAACAGAAATATTTTTTTCTGTTTGATTGCAGCCAATAACGACATTGCAAAAGTTGTGGCTGACTTGTAATTGAGGACCCTGCTGTGGTCCCACAGGCTTCTCTGTTTATACAAATACTGTAGTATATAAATACTCATTTATTTTATCTAGCCATGCATACATATATTTTTTGGAGTGGAAAGAGGATGCTTGCAGTAATGCTAAGATATAAAAGGCACAGTCCTTTCTCACTGCAACTTGCAATGCACACATTTAATATATAATGCTTGGTTTAGTGAAATAATCTCCTGACTTTTTTGTTGATCTTGGTAGATTAACGCTTAGGAAACTGATGCTCAGCTGCCAGGGTCCACTTCATGGGGAGATACCATGAAACTAGTTTGAAATGTAAATTGAGGAACCATGCTAGGGAGTAACTACAGAGTTAGAACTGTAAAAAGAAAGTTATAGTCATTAAATAATAAACACATTTACACTATGGGCTGATGTTCTCAACGTTTCTTGTTACCACAATATGTTAGAATAAATCTGTTGTTATATTACAATATATTTGGATGCAGATTACTTTGGTTTATTGAAGTTTAAAAGACAGCCCACAGTATCGCTACAAATGTGGGAATGCATTTTTGCTATGCAAAATGGCTTGAATGTGGCACTTTCCCCCCATCTACTGTGACATACTGCACATAACACATCTGTACCTGCCAACAAAGTCACATGGTTCACCCTTCACCATTTCAGAAAGTAGAGCACTTTGAGAGTGAGAGACAAGTGATGCAGTATATATTCTTCCTTTCAGCGTGTCTACATAGCATAAGAGCGGCAGAATAGGCTTGACTTGCAAATAATGGTGATCTACAGGCATTCCTTCTGTCAAAGGTAGGACCTGCATCAGGTCTGACAAAGGATACAGATGCCATTACAAATTATACTTCCCAATTGACAGAGTTGCTGAGAAGAAAGAAAAAATGGTCCAAGAAGCAGAAACTGTGAAGTAGACAGGTTGTACCTGTTTTCCCCCTGCTTTCTTATTGTATATGAGCAAGGGCTTTATATATGTGAACTGCATATCATTGTAATCCAGCTGCTAAAAGCTTAGGTACCTTTGAGTCTATTGTTCATGATATATAAAGACTGCCTCTGTTCTTTTTCTTGCTTTTATGTTTTTATGTTAGAAATATATTTATACTCACTTCTCTTTGCCAGAACCTCACAGTCACACAGGTTTAAAGCTAAACAGCATTTAATTCTCCCTTTGCAAACTGAGATTAGGGAGAACAGAAGGACAATTCTTGGACGACTGAGTCCCAATCCTGAGAAGATTTACACACACACTGTAGGAAACTATTCGCATGAGTGAGGTTATGCATGTATATAAATCTTCACAGGATGCCATCTGAATTTCAGTATTTTCTCCTTTCCCCAGTGGTGGGGAGTAAAATCTGCAGAGACAAGTGGGGACTAGAGCTAGTCATAATTTTCAAGCGAAAAGTGGTTTCATGGAAACTGTTAACATCTTTAAAATTTTCCTTTTTTTCCAAAATATTTTCTCTTTGCCTATTGAAAACTATGTTTTGGTAAACAAACAATGTTGATAATAATTTTGATAAAGAAGTCATGAAAAATTTTGAAAAAATGAAAAAAATGCCTCCATTTTGTGCCCTGTGAATTGCAATTAAAAAAACAAAACAACCGGCTCTCATGTGGACACCCTCGTATGGTATTCCTGACATTTCAAATCCATAAACAGGGTGAAACTTATTTTTTGTCTCTTTTGGGGAAGCAAAAGTTTGAGACCATCTTTATACATCAGAAAGGAGAAGTAAACACATAAGTATATTGACTCTTGATTCCCAGTGTGCTAACAATGCTATTCTTCTTTGAGTGCTTGCTTATGTCCATTCCTTGCTTGGTGTGTGTGCTCTTCATGCACAGTTCTCGGAGATTTTTCCTTTGGTGATATGTGTTAGGCCGGCTCTAGCGCCCTCTGGAGTCACACACATATGTGCTGGTAAAAAGGGAACCGCCAGCCCCACGCCCTCTGTTCCTTCTTACCGCCTGTGACAGTTGCTGGAACGCCTCTCGCTGTGGCAAGTCTTCTTTCCCCGTGGTTTGGACTTTCTCTGTTCATATTTGTATAGTTATTGTAGTTAGTCTATATAGTTCTTTGTTAGAGTTACTATATATTGTAGTGTTAGTTGCTGTCCCTGTTGTCAAGGGACTTTTTGCCTTGGGCTGGGCATGCCCCTTTCCCCGGACTTCAACCATGTGCCTTGTGCAACAAGACGATGCCAGTTAGTGACCCGCACACTAGCTGTCTAAAGTGTCTGGAGGAGCCTCGCATTAAAGAGAAGTGCCAGATCTGCAGGGATTTCAAACCCTGCATGAGAAAGGATAGAGATATTCGGCTGAAGGCCATTCTTTTTTTATGGAGGTGGCCTGATTCCGAGCAATGTTGGACGTGATTTCCAAGGTCATGATCCACCCAATAATGACTGCTTGCGTCTATGCCAAACTATTGGGTCATGTGGCAGTATGTGCCTACATGGTGCAGTATGCAAGGCTACACCTCAGACTCCTACAGATGTGGCTGGCGTCAGTCTATTCCCCAAGCAGACATCACCTGTACTCAATACTTATGATCCTGTCTCCAGTCCTTGCTTCGCTGACCTGGTGGAGAGACCCAGAATCCGTAATGGAGGGCGTACTGTTTGCTGCCCCTCAACCATCAAAAACTCTAGTCTTGGATGTGTCAGACCTGGGGTGGGGAGCCCATGTTGGCAATCTCAGGCCCTGTGGTCCCAGCAAGAACTCTCCCTGTATATTAACATCAGGGAACTGAGGGTAGCACGCTTGGCTTGCTAGATGTTCCTTCCCCAGATCTCAGGCAAAGTGATGCAGGTCTTGATGGACAACACTGCATCAATGTTTTACATCAACAAGCAGGAAGGGGCTCAGTCTTCAGCCCTGTGCCAGGAGGCCCTCCGACTGTGGGACTTTTGTGTGAAACATGCCATTCACCTCGAGATGTCACATTTCCTGGAAGCCTGAAATGCACTGGTGGATTGTCTAAGCAAATCCTTTTCCTATCACCATGAGTGGTCCCTTCACCCGGAGGTCATCAGTGTCATCTTCCAGAAGTGGGGGCCTTCTCAGGTGGACCTGTTCACCACCACACAGAACAGAAAATGCTACCAGTTCTGTTCATTGCTCAGGCAAAGCATGGGTTCCCTCTCCAATGTCTTTCTGGTCTTATGGACAGACAACCTGCTGTACATCTTCCCACTGATCCCCTTGGTTCACAAAATCAAATGGAACAAGGCGAGGGTTATCCTGATAGCACCTGCGTGGCCACACTAGCATTGGTTTGGTGTGTTTCTGGACTTCTCAGTGGCCGCTTCACTTGCGCTCCCACTCCAACCGGACTTGAATTAATAAGACCATGGCTGGTTGCTTCACCCGAACCTTGCCTCCCTGCACTTGATTGCATGGTTGCCTCATGGCTGACCCCTGAGGAGCAGGCCTGCTCTGATCAAGTTCAACAGGTCTTGATAGATAGTAGTAAACCTTCTACTAGGGCTACCTACCTGGCCAAGTGGAAATGTTTCACTTGTTGGGCCGTTGAATGGAATCTGTCTCCATCCCAATCTTCTTTGCAGTCTATCTTCGACTATCTGTCTATCTTCCAGGACAAGGTCCAGCTGTGCCCCCATCTGGCCTTCCCACCAAAGGTGGTGTCACAATTCCATAACAACCGGGACATTTTTCTGCCTGTCTTCTTTCCAAAACCTCACAAGACTGCTGAAGAACATTAGCATCATATGTTGGATGTTAGGCGGGCCCATGCCTTTTAGACTGAGAGAATTAAGCCCTTCTGCAGCTCCACGCAACTCTTTGTAGCAGTGGCGGAAAGGATGAGAGGGCTACCTGTGTCATCCGAAAACATCTCGTCCGGGATAACCGCCTGTATCCAAGCTTGCTACAAGCAGGTGAAGGTTCTGCCTCTGGCCATCGTGACCACTCATTCCTCAAGAGTCCAGGCTTCGTTGGCAGCGTTCCTCATGCAGGTACCAATCAAGGACATCCACAGAGCTGCAAACTGGTTGTTGGTTCAGACCTTCACTTTTCACTACGCCATCACCCAACAGGCCTGTGATGATGCCAGCTTTCGGAAAACAGCGTTGCAGTCAGTGTGTGCATGAGCTCCGAGCCCACCTCCAGGGCTACTGCTTGTGAGTCACCTAGCATGGAATGGACATGAGCAAGCACTTGAAGAAGAAAAAACGGTTACTAACCTTCTTCATTTTTTTTAAGCAATATTTTTTTCAACTGCCTGTACCTTTGAGGAACCATTCCAAAGCTGCAATGACATTATGAACAGGAAAAAGAGCAGGCTGGGCTTTCATATTTATTTAGAAAAAATAGCTATTTGCTTTTGGGTTCCAGTGTGAAGGCTTCAAATAATTTCAGGGGGAAAACAGTAATGAAAATTTTAAAAAAATATTTTGAAGACTAATCCTATGAGAAGAATTATTTTGGGAAAAATCTGATTCTTGCAGCTTCCAAGAAGAAAAAATAAGAACATTTAGGGAGTGGGCTGGAGAATCTGGCATGTTTTTTTTTTTATATAAAGTTCAAAGTAGCCAACTACTTTAAAAGGAGACACTAACGTATAATTGAGAGTGAAAGGTCAGGCTGCTCCAGTGTCATGTTTTGAACCCAATATCCCTTCAGAGAGTTACCCTAAATGAGTAATTTGTCTCTTTGTTGTTTTTACAGACATTATCACAGGTAACTCTTCTCCTGAGGATTGGCTACATTATCCTGACATTGACCTCCATTGGATTCCTTATGGAGCTAAGGCAAGACATGAAACGTTTTCTTTCTTTTCTTGTTTCCTGGTTGTGAGGAAAAAAAAAGGTCTATTGGCTACCACAATCACTTATAAAGTATGGCAGCCATTCAGATATAAAAAGTCTATAATGTTAATCAAATGCGTGCACTTCCTACTTGCACATTGCAATATATGGACCAAATTGTGATGCACTTATAAATAGTATGCAACACCATGAGTACTCCTGTTGGAGTCCATGAGAATTCTTTTGGACTGTCGGGCTACTCAGCATGAGTAAGGACCTAAGAAATAATGGAAAACAACTTTAGAGAGAAATGGTATTCATCCTGCCTGAAAACTATGCAGAAGAAATTATTTATATTTAAATACATGGTTATGTCTTCATTTAACATTCCAGTGACAGTCCTTCTCTGTTTGACATTCATTATTCAGTCAGAGGTAAATACCTTCGATCTTTACACACTAAATTATTTATTTCAGCATAGGGAAAGAATTTGGCAATGTACAGGAGAAGTTCAGAATTTATGCAGCTAAAAATGTGGATGGGTGTAAATACAGGAAAATTAGAATTGCGTAAAGATAGGCTCAAATTATTCATTAGGAATTTTTCATAATTTTGCCATGCCCCATTCTTACCCTCAACTCTTGTATAATAAATAATTGACTCCACCAATAGGGATTAATAGGTTACAGCTTTATTCAGAGTTTCCCAGGCAAAAACTACATTAAAATAGAATTAAGATTGAGAGTATATATATCAGTAATTTAAGGTAGAACACATTACCCAGATGTCAAAATTATTCCCAAATCAAGTTTACTAATCCAGGAAATTCAGAGCTAAGGTTTTAAATTGTAAACTTTAAATCAGATTTATAGTGAAAACTCAGTTGCAATTGCGTATTACTACAGGATATCATCAGTGCCTTGTTCTGTATTCATGTTTGTCACTGAAGTACTCAACAGATTGCATGCAAAGGAGAAAAAACTGAACATTAATTTTAATTCTTATTTCTAGGCCCAAAGCAGCTAGTTTGGAAGCTGTCCGCTGCTCAGTCTTTCTCGTTCTGCACAAACTTAGTTACCTGAAAATATACATTGCTTCCTTGGCATTTACTTATGAGGTAAGATATTTGTTTTTAAGAGTGCTGCATGCAATTTGCAGACCCTAGGGACTCTGTATTTTTTGTCCTTTTCAGAAAATGAGTCATTTTGCCAATTTAAGATTATGGGTTGCCTTTAGAGGTATATATTTTGGATCCATATTTTTGACTATACAGTTGAACAGAATTTGGGAATTTTTTTCTTAGCCTTTTATCATATTTCTCACACCTTTTGAGGTTTTACCATAGGAGAAATTGTTAATTGTGATTGGTACCTAATGTATCAAATTAAAAAAAGTCAAAGACAACAATGTGTTATCCTGCTAAGCAAAAATAATATATTTCTGGCCATAAACTTTGAAAGAAATACCCTCATGTGCTGCCCAACCTCCAGATTTAATGTATTCCCAGATCTTAAGTATTCTGCAGGATTTGACAAAAGCCCAAAGGGGCATGCTCAGTTATCATGGTGTTGAGATTGACTTTGTGTTGCCTGATTTCACACTCTCATTATGACACACTTGTGTTTACTGTGTATGACTTTTGGTTTCTCTGCATTTGAGTTTCCCAAAATATTGGTGTATATTTTACATTAAAATAATATTTTCATATGACTCCAAACTGTACCACATTCTTAAGAAATCTGTGGTTAGTTTCCAGATGAGGATATGTTAGGGTTGTGCAAGTCTGCTTTTATGAATGGTTCACTGCACTATTGAGAGATTGGTTAACAAATAAAGTTTACTTTTGGGTTTGGCCGGATGATGATCTGAAGGGTCCAATGCAATCATTTGACTGTATGATAGCTTTATGAAGTGCCAAGGTAACACACATCAAGCTATTTAGTATAAGTGAGTTATTTAAGAAGAATGCATTAAACATAGTAACTTAGTGTTTTTAATGTAGTGGGGGTTTTAAGAATAACAGTTTCAAATATTTTTTGTCTTTCCCTCAGCAAAAGAAAGTTCCTCTAAAAACTAGGACACATAGTATCTCTTGGATTAGAAACAGAAAGATCAAAGGCCAGATCCTGAAGTGGTCTAAATTGGCATAGCTCTGTCAACTTCAGTGGAGTTACACCAATTTACCTTCGTTAAAGATCTGACCCCCCCCCCAAGATGTTGTTAATTGGGTGTTTCTGAAAATGGTTCCAATTTTATTGCCTTTTCTCTGACAGCAGGCAATATCACCATGGAAAAATATATTATTCTAATGTGTTCCTCCCTGGGACAGGAAACACTTATTAGACAAAATTTAAAGTTGATTAGCAAAATGTCACTATTTACAAATTATTTTGAACTTTTTGGTAATTGTTATATTGGTGTCATAGCCTGGATTTTAAAATCAACAAGTGTCTTTTAATCAGTGTACATCAGAGTTAAAGCCCATGTTTTATGGATTTCATGAAGGCTTTTGTTTTAAGTATGAAGGGCCTCACATTTTGGAAAAAAAAATTTAGTGTACATTGGGTAAACTAGTGTAATAGATATTTTTTAAACATAGAATTAATTGTCCTGTGTTTATTTGCTTCCCAAGGTGTGATAGAGCCTTGATGAGGATCTATAAATAGAGCTTTTTGGAAGCCAGGACTCTGGTCACTTAGAGCACTCAGGGTTAGAGTAGGAGGGAGTTAGGTAGTGAACTGGCTTGGAAAATTAGAAGGGATCACTGGCACTTGTGGCGAAGGGGATGAGGTAATTAGCTTATCAGATGGATAACTGGGAGAAGAAGGCAAGTAGTTAAAAGGCTGAGCCAGGCAGCAGGAGGGGGCTCCTGCTAGCTACTGCTGCTGTTGCTATATGTGTGTTGTACCTGGAGCACAAAGGCAAAACAATGAAAAAAATATTTGGTGAAGGTTGTCTGGTGGACTATGTATGCTGTTTAGTCATCAGGGGGACATACAAGCCTGGGTTTCCAGGGATGGAAGGGGACCCACTTACAAATGTCAGGTCAGCTTGCTCCGGTCCTGTGCCTACCAGATGTCTCCACCTTCTAGTGCCCAAATAGTGACTTCAGACTCTCTCCCTGCAGCCCCCTCTGCTATAAACTTCCTAGCTTTTTGCTAACCAGCTTGTTCCTGCTCAGCTGGGCTTCTTGATCAGTTAAGCCTGTCTCTCCCTCCAGGTGCAATTAGGTAACAAAACTGGCCTCTTAGGCACACATTAACCCATTCAGAACCTGAGTGGGGTACACGCGCTGTCACACAAGAATTATCATCTGATCTGAAATACACATGCAACTCAATGGGAGCTATATGAATATAGCCTTGACTTATGTAAATATTTCACTTATCATTCTCGCAGGCAAGTAAGTGTGTGTGTGTGAAAATATAAGTAAGATAAGGTTTAGGGAAAACAACAAAATATTCATAGTCTTTGTTTCCAGGACATTGTCCTGATTAGTTCTGGAGTAATCGTGTGGTTTCTTACTTCACCGTGTAAAAATATGCAATAAATAAAATGCAATTATTTTCTCTTAATATTAATTTTTTCAAAAATCTATTTTGTTTCTTATTCTTAATCTATTTCCTTCATTAAAGTATTGACTCCCTTCATCTCTGACTACTTCTGTAACTCTTTTTCCCTTCCTTTCTCTCTTCCCTCTTCTCTTTTTGGTTATTTCTTTCTGCTTTCTTCAGTTTTTTTCTCTCTTTTCTTCATATTGGCCTTCCCATTTGATTGCTTCTCTGGCCCCTTTTCTTTTTGTCTCCCTTCTTATTTTGTACTGGCTGGCTAGTCGTCATTGGTAGTATCTCATGATGTTTTCTTTGAAAATATCACAAGAGCAAGTGCCATCCAAGTAATTTGCTAGCGGACAGACCAGAATATGAAACAGCAGATGTAGTTTCTTAAAGTTAATATAGGGCTTGTAAATTGCCAAACTGATAGCATTGGACACCTCAAGTACTCCATTTACTACAGAACAGGTATACTATGGGTATGTCTATACTGCAATTAAACACTCGAGGCTGGCCTGTGTCAGCTGACTCAGGCTCCTGGGGCTTGGCTGAAGGTCTGTAAAATTGCCCAGTAGGTATTAGGCTCAGGCTGGAGCCTGGGATCTGGGGCCCTCCCTCATTGCAGGGTCCCAGAGAATGGGCTCCAGCCCAAGCCTGTGCATCTATACTGCAGTTTTCTAGTTCCTCAGCCCAAGCACCACAAGCCCAAGTCAGCTGACGTGGCCCAGCCACGGGTGTTTTATTTCAGTGTAGACATACCCCAAAGATATGGCACGGTTCCTCATCTTGCCCTTCAAGGGTGCCATGATCTAAAAGGTTTACCTTCGTGAGTAAGAAGACATTTTATTCTACCTTCACATTCAGTTTCTGGACTCCCTGCTGGGACTGTTAACAAAGGATGGTAATTTGTGATAGTGGGTTTCATGATGCAGACAATCACCCAAAAAGAAGGACTGAGATCTCCAACTCATGCCAAAAAGCTGTCAAACAGATTTCAGATGGCAGTAGTTACTAATCTGGGTGAATTTGAAACCAGTGACCCAAAGTGAAATATTTAGACTTTTTCCAGAATTCCTCAGATCCTGAGGTTAGGGCTAAGGGAGATCAATCAAAACTACTCACTTAACCTGGCTATACATGTACAATGATATACTGTGACACACACAAACATTAATCTGTCTAGTATGTGAAATGATTATCCTTACTTCTGCCACCTTTGTCCTTGCAATTTTTCATTTGCTCATCCACACATCCCTTTTTCCCTCGCTCTCTCGCACACAGACACCAGTCTTATTCACAACTTGAGACAGACATTAGTTCAATCATTTTAATTTACTCTTTTTAATCTGAAGTACACATAAACACACACTCTTTCTCATTCTCTCACTTTCCCACATTTAATGTACTCATTGCAAAATGTATTTGTGTACCAGGTATAGATTATTGTGGTGGTAGTTTAAATTTCTCTGACTCCAACTTCTATTAACTCACTTTGTAGATATATAAATGTCTTTTTGGATGCTGATTTAGGAAAATAAAGAAAACTAGTGTAAATTGCAATATGCATGATGACAATATTCTGTGCACCTAGAATGTAGTGGCTAATTCTGTCCCAGAGTTCATAAATCTATGCTGCTCATGGAACCAGTTCTGTGGCAGATTCTGTTTGACATGCACTATCCTGAATCATTTGAAATGTGTGTGGGTAAGTATAAACCTTATTCATATTTATTCTCTTGTAGTCAAATACGCATTACACAAAAACTGAGTTTCTGCCTGAAATGTGTCAGATTCGTGAGATTTTAGAGCTGTCAGGAGGTGGATCACAAGAAGGAACAAGTATCAATTCCTCAATGCTAGATTGTTCTCTTCTGCTTTATCATTACAACTTCATGTTTGTTGTCCTTCATATATATCCTTTATGTCTTAACACACATCCCCACATCCAGGCTCCCCTTATGCCCTTGTTAGAACCTGATTGTGTCTTGTAGGCAATGAGGTGGTGCAGAACCATTCTGCCTCAGAGATAGACTAGTTAGTCACATATTGGCAGGCACTCTGCCTTCTGGTGTTCTCAAGTGTGCAGTAGGTGAATGCATCTTCTGGGTGATCAACCAGCTCTTCTGGCCAATGCATAGGGGGAGAAGAATCATAGAATCATAGGACTGGAAGGGACCTTGAGAGGTCATCTAGTCCAGTCCCCTGCACTTGTGGCAGAACTAAGTATTATCTAGACCATTCCTGACAGGTGTTTGTCTAACCTTCTCTTAAAAATCTCCTGTGATGGAGATTCCACATCCTCCCTAGGCTAGTTATTCCAGTGCTTAACCACCTTGACAGTTAGGAGGTTTTCCCTAATGTCCAACCTAAACCTTCCTTGCTGCAGTTTAAGCCCATTCCTTCTTGTCCTATCTTCAGGGGTTAAGAAAAACAATTTTTCTCCCTCTTCCTTGTAACAACCTTTTACATACTTGAAAACTGTTATCATGTCCCATCTCAGTCTTCTCTTTTCCAGACTAAACAAACCCATTTTTTTCAATCTTCCCTCATAGGTCATGTTTTC